CCTATCCCGCCCGGGAAAGCTTGCATTCGCTATCGAGAGCCCACCGCTGGTCTATCGACGATGTATCGCCGATTCAAGCTCGATGTTTACCCCCTGAGCCGGTCCCCCCATCGTTCCCCGTCAGGTCCCCAGGTGCTGGTCTTCACATCGGTTGCAGCTTCCGTATTTCGCTTTCCCTTGCCAGTTTGCCGACACCCCTCCGACGGGGAGGAGTTCATTTGCATCTTCGGGGGGGCATTGTCCCGTCCTGCCAATGGCAGTCGTTCCTGATATTCGGAGGTGGTTCCGACGCGCGAATTCGGCGCGAATTCGGCGTGGACTCGACGGTTTCGAAAGCGGGTTCGACGCGCTTGAGGCAGGAGGAGGCAGGGAAGGCAGGAGGGAGGCAGGAGGGAGGCAGGAGGGAGGCAGGAGGGAGGCAGGACGGAGGGGGCGAGGGGCGGAGAATCGCGAGGCTGTCCGACGCGGGTCGGCTCTGCGGCGGGCGCTCCGAAGCCGCTTCGGCAGGCGTGGCGCTTGGCAGCAAGGCGGAGGAGGTTTCTGATGGGCCGATGTCTCACCGCTGCTACCATAGGTAGGACGGGGGGATGGGGAGGTCCTTCCCCTCCTCCTCCTCCTCCTCCTCCTCCTCCTCCCCTCCTCCTCCTCCTCCTCCTCCTCCTCCTCCTCCTCCTCCTCCTCCTCCCCCTCCTCCTCCTCCTCCTCCTCCTCCTCCTCCTCCTCCTCCTCCCCCTCCTCTTCCTCCTCCCTCTCCTCCACCTCCTCCTCCTCCTCCTCCTCCTCCTACTACCTGTGGTAGTGGTAATGGAAAGTCGGCCCACAGGGCTCGGAGACTTGGCGGGAGCCGGTCGAACCTCAGAGAAGAGCGGCTGCCCGTACCCCAGGCGTCTCCCACCCGGCCTGCGCGCCGAGTCGCTGAGAAGAGTGCGAGGGGGCGGGCCTCCTCAGCAGGCGGCGGGGCTTCTCCGACGCCCTGGCCGTCCACAGAGCTCCCCGTGGCTCCGGGGGGGGCGGTGCGCGGTCGGAGAAGGTTCCGAGAGTGTCTCGGGAGGCTCGCCCCCGCTGCGTTGCCCCCAGGGGGGCCCCGGCGCGCCGCCGATCCCAGGACGAGAAGCCCCCTCGTCTCGTTCTCGAGGGCCCCTCGCTTGGGCAGCAGCTCGGTGACCCCGGGGAAGAAGCGCAGTGGAGCGCTCATGACGCGACCCATCCCTCGCTCCCCATCCAATCTCCATAGTTCTCATTCGTTCCCCCCTCCCTCCTTCCTCCTGCTCCTCCTGTTCCTCGGCCTCATTACGTCCTAATCCTCATCCTCGTCCTCCTCAGTCACGGTCGACACACTTATCGTACTCCCTCCTCTGTGGCCTCCCCCACTCTTCTTCTCATTCCCCCTGCCCTTCCCCTCATGCTTCCCCTCTCGTCGTTCTCACCTCCTCCCTCCTCGCGCCTCGATTATCCCTGACCCTCCTCTTTCCCTCCATCCATCCTCCCCCACCTAAGCCCCTAGAATTGGAATATGTCAGGCAAGTACGCTGTTGGATGGCGCTTCCTTTTCAACGAGAGAATATCGTGGTGACGATGATGCGATACGAGCGGCACTCGGTTCCTCCAGTCACCGTGCCTGAGTCGTGATCAAGATACCTCTTGCATGCCTCCTGAAAATCCATTGTTGGCGATCTTGGGGCCTCTTGCGGCCTTTCCTGCGGGCCTCGGGGAGTCTCTTGGGTGCTCTCTCGTGGGCATGCTGGCTGCCTCGGAGGCCGTCGTGGGGTGGTAGGCTCTAGATTGCAGGTCGAACTCCCCTCTTGGGGCGCCTCTTGGGCTCGTCCTGGGCCGTTCTTAGCGGCATCGGACGCCCTCTCGGGCGAGTCCTCGTGACATTCTGGGCAGCTTGGGTCGTTCAGAAGACCAACGAGCCGACAAACAAGCATACAGGCCCGTCGTTGAAAGTAGGTATTTTGGGATATCTTGACCCCAATCTACTTTGGTCGCCTTCCTGCTTCACGAGTCGAGCGGTTGTCCCTCTTGCCTCCTCTTCAGGGACCGAGCGGAAGCCCAATCTACTTCCAACGCCTTCCTCTTTCATGGTTCTACCCACGTCTTCCGACGGGCATGTAAACATAGCAAGTGTGTTTCGATGATTGGGGCCCTCCGCCGGGCCTCCAGGGCGCCCCAGAGGCCCTCAAGAGAGAGCCTCAGCCCTTCGAGCTGCCGAGAGTGCCAGAGCAATTTCGAGCACCGCGTGGGAGGGAAATGGAGTCCGGCTTCCTGTCGCAGGCGATTTTTCTCCTCTAATCCCCGGGTTTTGCCCGAAAAGTTTGGGCACTCAGAAAAAAAGGAAAAAACCCTGGGATATACCCCAAGGGAGCTATGCGGACGCAGCCCTATCGAGGATGGAGGCCCCCCCATCGTATATCCTAGGGTTTGGCTCCAAATTCTTGGTCCATTCAAATTCGGCGCACCGGGGCCCGTCACCAACACCAAGATCCACTCCGTTGACTGCCGTCGCCCGTGTCTTCGGGCTCGCGTGTCCCGCGTTTATGAACGCCAGCTCTGAGCGCGTGGGAAAAAAGGCGGGTATTTTCTAGTTCCCCGGATTTCCATGGGCCGCGCGAGGCCTGTGGGCCGCGCCAACCCAGCCAGCCCGATGAACCCCACAAGTCCCGCAAAGGTTTCTTGGGCCGCACGTGCGCCGCAGCGCGCATGGGCCCAATGCGCCGCGCTGGCCTAGCGAGCCGCGCGGGCCCCACTGGCCCCCTGACTTGTCGGGACCACATCGGGTTTCTGGGCCTTGCGAATCCCACGGGCCATGGGAGCCCCATGGGCCCTAGAGGCGCCATGAGCCCCATGGGACGCTCTTCTATCATGCAAGCCCCATGGCCTGCACATTCGGAGAGCAGCGCGAGCCATCTCAAGCTTTCCAGGCTCCTTTGGGTCGCTCAGCCCCCACAGAGAAAGCGCTCCCAACTTTTCCAGTGGTGTCTTGGTGCTGGTGCCGGCTTTTCGTCCCCTGCAACATCAAAAACCCGACGCCAGCACCAAGGCCCCCTCTGGAACGGCCCTATGGGCGAGCTGAAGTCCTCGAAGATTTCGGAAGTTCGCCAAGGGCTGCGGGCCTGGGTCAAGAGGGGGCCACGGTTTTTGGCCCCAGACGCGCAGGGCGGCCGCCGCCCCCTTCCGCGGGGAGTTGGCGGTTCGGAATCGTCGGGTGTTGGCGTCGGGCAAATAGAGGGTCAGGGATGCGACATGGGCGAGCAGAGGGCGGGTATGGGGAGGGGGGAGGGGGGGCAATGAGGGGGACGAGCGGGCGGGGGGAAGCGTGGGGGAGGGCGGCGGTGGGGGGAGTGAGACTTCGGTCATGGAGGATGCCACATTCTTCCCTCTTGTCTTCCTTCTTTTCCCGAGAGCGCCCGCCAGTTTTGCTTATCGTTTGCACTTTTTGTTTCCTGCTCTCCCTCCTACCTGCTGCGCGACGTCTCCCTCCTACCTGCTGCGCGACGTCTCCCTCCCATTCAACATTTCGCGGAACAAGTACTTTCTTGGTGTTGGTGTCGGCCTTCTGTTCTCCCACAAATTGCTGGACCATTCAGAACTCCACGAGAAGGGGTCGACATGTCCCCTGCTGTCACGAGGGAAGTGCCACGAGGCCCTCAGGAGCGCCGTGCACTGCGAGCAAAATGTTGTGGCTTGGGCCCCACGGCGCGGGGGCCCGTCGGGCGTCCGTTGTGAAACCTGCGTCGTCGGCGCGGGCGCACATCAGGTCGAGGGCTTCGCTGCCCGGCCCGGGCTGCGCCCGCGCCGCTGGCCAGGGGGGCGGAAGTCGGGGGCCCCCAAACGGGGCGGTGACCACACCGTGTGGTGAGTCGGTGCGGATTCGGGGTCACCGCACGGTTTTGGGATTCGGGTCGTTCTCCGAGGACGTCCCGGGCGACAGGGGTCTCCAGGGTCCCAAGACCGTGCGGTGACGGACCGTGCTGTGAGGTATTGGGGGATTTCGAGGTCACCGCACGGTCTGTCACCGCACCGTTTCGGGACTCCACAGAAAGACCACCCGGACCCGGTAACTGGCGCTTGCTAAACGGCCTTGGGCGTTTACTAACAGCCCTGCCCTCTTCGATTCCTTCTCTGGGTGCGTTTACCAAACGGCCTCGCTCGTCGGGGTGGCTATCACGGGGGTGGATGTTTTGCCCTCTAGTTGGGTGTCGTGCGCGGCCCCTCGGACATGGCCACCACCTTCCAACGCGTGAGCCTTCTCTGCCAGCCCCCCCGACGCCATGACCCCTTCACCGCTGGCTTGTTCTATTAGGTTTTTTTGTGCCGGCTTGTTGGGGCCCAGCACGGGCCCCCAGGGACCGAAAGAGGCAAAACACATGCCGTCGTGATGTTTTACAGTGCGAGGGGGTTTGGGCTTGCCGAAGCCAGTTCGTCTCAACGGCGGGGGGGGGATTCCGGCAGCTATTCAACCCGCATTGCAAAGATGGGCATCTTCCCGGCCCTTGCATCCTTGCCTCCTCGGCCCAGCCTTGGCCACTTTCGTTGGCCGTGCCCCGTTCAAAAAACTCGACGTGGCCTTCCAAGGCCCTTGCATCCTTATCGCGCATCCTGGTTGACTGTAGCGTCTGGCTATCGATGCGGCAGCGCCGACTCAGTATCGATCTCGCGTCGACGAGCGTCGACCGGCGTCGGTAAGCGCCGACGTCGCGAGAGCCAGCAAGCTGTCAGGGGAGGCTCCAAGTTCGCCACAGACTTCTTCCGGAGTGCGCTCCGACCAGGATTTGGAGGCAAATCCAGCCGTGGCTGCGCGAGGCCCCTCAACTGGCCCCAGAGAGCCCTCGGAAAGCTCGAAGTTCGAAGCTCGCTGTTCAGAGTTCGAGGGGTCCCGAGCGCAGGCGGCGCGGGGCCCCAGCGAGGGCCCGCGGGCAATCCCCTCTTGGCGGCGCGCGCGGTGCGGGGGGGGGGGCCCAGGAACCCTTCGCTCCGAGGGCCTGGGCTCGCTTGTCGAGGCCGCTTCGGCTCGAGGGCGGGCCGCAGAGCCGTCCCGCGGGCGCCTCCTCGCCGCTGCCGCCCCAAAAAGGTGGGCAGGAGGGAGGGAACGGCACCCCGATCCCCCACGCTCGGCGCTTAGGAAGCAGCCTCGGGCGTTTACTGGAGAGCCCCTGCCCTGTTCGATCCCCTCCCTAGTTGCGTTTACGGAAGGCTGCTCGCGTGGGGGTGCTTCTTGTGAGGGTGGACTGCTTGCCGCGTTCACGGATTGGCGTTGGCCGTTCACGAGAGAGAGCCCTGCCCTGTCCGATCCCTTCCCTGGGCGCGAAGGCTTCTGTCGCGGGGGTGCTGTCAGCGGCGGCATTGGATGAGGAGCGCCTTCCTGGGGCCCAGACCCTGGCGCAGTCCTTATCGTTTCAAGGCGAGGCCGGTGGCCCACGTGTGGCCGCCCATCGGTCGCGAGACCCTTGGGCTCCCTAGCGAAGGCATCCTCATCTAAAGCCTCCACCGTATTGTGAGGGCGGGCCGCCTGCCCTCCAGATGGCCTGCCCGTGCGGCCGGGGCGCCGCTGGCGAGCCGGGCGAGCCGCCGCCGGCCACCGCGGAGGCCGCGCAGAGGGGGAGGGCAAACAACGAGGCCCTGCCCAGATCGTTGTCAGCCACGCGCAAGAGGGGGGCAGGGGGGAGGGGGGAAGGCTTCTTAGAAGCACCCCTGCTTCTTAGAAGGTGCCGGCCCTCATCTGTAACTGTAAGGCTAGCGCCCTCTGAGAAGCAGGGTCCGTCTAAGAAACCTTGATGCCAGCACATTCTAAGAAGCAGGCTCCTTCTAAGAAGTCTTCCCCCTCCCCCTGCCCCCTCTGCGCGCCGCCAACATTGGATGCCCGATTTATTGATGGTCGCGGCCGACGAGATCGGTCGTTACCGATTTTGCTTCTCATTCCGGCAGCAGTCGCGGCCGGTTTGCTTCAAAAGCAGTCGCGGTTGGACACGACCGATTTGGAGTGCCGATCGGACGATTTTGCTTCACATTCTGGCATCGGTCGCGACCGACATGATTCAAAATCGGTCGCGGTTGGACACGACCGATTGGCAGTGCCGATCGGTCGTTGACCGATCGCGACCGAAGCAAATCGTATATCCAATAGTCTGGGTGGCGGGGAAGCGCTTGGACGGGACGCAAGGGTGATGGATGTAGAATTTCCATCTGAGAGGACCGAGGGTTTTGGGGTCTCTTGGGGGCCTTCATCGTCGCCGCTGCTGGATTCGTCTACAGGTTCTGGCCAGAACGCACCCCAGACGAGGTCTGGGGGTCGACGTTTGACCACCAGGCCCAGACACCCCTCGCGCCGTGACAAAACCACGAGAGGAGCTGCTGTTGAGTTTTGATGTTTTCAATCACTATTTTTGATCCCCCGCGGTGACCATTTTACTTGTCAGTTAACGTGTTACACACGAGGCTCGCACCCGGTTGCTTATTCGGGAAGCCTTGGTATCACCAAATTACGTTGTTGGGCCCCGAACTATGACCACAACGGCTCCCGCCTGAAACTGATATTTCCTCGATAGGTATTCTGAAATCGCGCTCTCGCGCAGGACTTCCTGACAATCGATACAGGAATTGCGCTCTCGCGTGGGACTTCCTCGCAATTTTTTCAGACGGCACCCCCTCGACCCTCAGGAATCACGCTCTCGCTTTTGGCCTTTCTCACGATTTTCTTGGGAATCGCGCTATCGCCTGAGACGTCCTCGCGAGTCATGCAGGACTCACGCTTCAACAACCCGCCTGCTCGACCTGGCCGCCTGTCGGGCCTGCCTTCCGACCCGCCCGCCAGAGTATGCCCGCCCGATCTGCGCGTCTGGTTTTGCCACGTGTTTTCTGCCCCTAGCCCCCCTCCTGCCATTTGCTCTCGTGCTCCATCTGTCACCCTCCCCCTTCCATCCTTCCTCTCTTCCCCTGTTTGAGGGGCTGCGCTACATGCATGTGGCAGCTAAGGAAGATATGCCCCCAAGGTGGTACGATCGAATACGAAGAGGGCGGGTACTGAGGGTTTGGGATAGACGTGTCGAATGGCACGCAACCAGATAGGAGCGAACAGACGTATTATGTGTGGTGTTGGCGGTGTTGTTGTTGTTGGTGGTGTTGTTGTGGTTGTTGTCGGTATTATGGTTTGTTGTTATTGCTGTTGGTGCCGGTGTGTGTGTGTGGTGTTGTTGTTGCCGTTGTCGTTGTTGTGGGTGTTGTTGTTGTTATTATTGTTGTTGTTATTGTTGTTGGTGTTGTTGTTGTTGTTGTGGTTGTTGTTGTTGTTGTGGTTTGGTGGTGGTGATAATGCTGTTGGTGGTGGCGTTGTTGTTGTTGTTGTCGTTGTCGTTGTCGTTGTCGTTGTCGTTGTTGTTGTTGTTGTTGTTGTTGTTGTTGTTGTTGTTGTTGCCGTTGTTGTTGCTCTTGATGTTGTTGTTGCTTATGTTGTCATTGTAATTGATAGTCTGGTTGTTACTGTTGTCTTGTTCTTGTTGGTGGTGGTGGTGGTTTTGGTGCCCCTCATCCTCCTGCTCCTCCTCCCCCTCTTCTTTCACCTCCCCCTCTCCTCCTTCTCCTCCTCTTCCTCCTCCTCGTCCTCCTCTGGCTCCTCCTCGTCCCATTCATGAGGAGTAGGAGAGGAGGAGGAGGAGGAGGAGGAGGAGGAGGAGGAGGAGGAGGAAGAGGAGGAGGAGGAGGAGGAGGATGTGAAGGGTTCCGCGGAGAAATATAATTGTTCCACTACTGCTGGGATCCCGGTCCGTCAATAAGGTCGCCGACTAGACAATTAGCTTCCAACTATCGGTGTGATGTCTAAAGGCCGATCGCAGTTATTCAGATTCTGGCAAGATTAATTGCGGGTCGGGGGGCAAGGCCAGGCTCCTTTGCACGCCTTCTCGGGACCGCGTTACCCAAAGAGGCAGAGGCGGCGGAGGGGCGGGCGGAGGGAGGGCATGCCATGCGAGCGAGCTTGCCTGGCCCTCAAAGACAACGGCCTCCCCAGGGGAAGCGGGCCTGCCCTGTACCCAGGCGCGCTCCCCCCTGGACTGTCCGTGCATGCAGCCGTCTCCCCAGACCTCTCCGACGTCGTGACTTTTCCACGGCGCGGGCCCCCAGAGGTCTGGGGACCCCATCCCCAGGGCCGGGCTTTCTTCCTGCGCCGTCTCGTGGTGCGAGCCTCCCCCTGGTGCCGAGCAGTGTGAGAACCCGTCCGTCGAAGAAGAATCAACGGCAGACACATACTTCATACCAGAGAAGACCCCAATCAGTGAATGGCTTGGAAATTTGTGATTCGGTCATTGCGATCGATAGTGAAATCGATCGTGAGATAGACGGGGGGATCGATAGTGAGGACGATAGTAAGGTCGGTCGTGAGAGCGATAGTGAAGTCCATTCAGTCAGATCGATAGTGAGATCGATCGTGATATCGCTCGTGCGATCTATGGTGATATTGCTTGTGAGATCGACAGGGGGATCGATCGTGAGATTGATAGTCAGATCGACAGTTAGGTGGGTAATGAGATCGATGGTGAGACCGATCGAAAAGGAGATCGAGAAGGAACCTGGGAACCCAGAGACCCGGGAATCCCGCCGCCCACCGAAATCGGCCCGGAACCAGCAGCATGGAACTGGGGAGCCCGGAATCGTGTTTCGTCTTAGGAGGCCAGCAGATCGAGGAGAAGATTACAGTCAACCCGCACAGTCAGGACGGGCATCTTGCCAAGGGTACGCTTGCATCATTGCCTCCTGGGTCCATCCTTGATCACTTCCGTTGGCCACGCCCCGCTCGAGACGCTTCGAAATGGGCGTCCTTGTGATACGGGCCGACGGTAGCTCAGCCGATGCGGGCGCGACGGTCCACCGCGCACCGCGCGTCGCGGCCTGTGCTAGAAGAGGGCGCCCCTCTGCAGGAGGGGGCCACGCGAGGGTGGCAGGTCGGGGCGTGATGCGCGAAGTTAGGTCCTCCTCCCCCTCCTCCTCCTCCTCCTCCTCCTCCTCTTCCTCCTCCTCCTCCTCCTCCTCCTGCTCCTTCTCCCCCTCCTCCTCCCCCTCCTCCCCCTGCTCCTCCTCTCCTCCTCCTCCTCCTCCCTCCTCCTCGCCTCCTCCTCCTCCTCCTCCTCCTCCTCCTCCTCCTCCTCCTCGTCCTCCTCTCCTTTTCCTCCTCCTCCTCCTCCTCCTCCTCCTCTCCTCCTCCTCCTCCTCCTCCTCCTCCTCCTCCTCCTCCTCCTCCTCCAGTCAAACTTGGCATCGCTCGGACGTGTGGATTTTGTCCTCGGCAAGGACCATCGAGTAGCATGTTGGGCCATCTTGCGAAACGCACACGCGCGAAACCGAAAGATGCACGGGGAATGGACGTCCGAGCGATGGCGAGTAGAGCGCCTGAACAGCGCCCGGGCTGAAGAAAGCCATTCCGCCAGAGCTCTGCAGGTGGAGCTCCGCGTCGCGGTCGTCGGCGCTGGGCCCGGCGGGCTCGCGCTGGCCAACTACCTGGCGCGCGGGCGGAGCGCCGGCATCAGGGGCAGCGTCAGGGGGGGGCATGATCATCTTGATCATTGGATATACTGGACTTTTCCATTCGCGACCGACGAGATCGGTCGCTACCGATTGAGCTTCGAATTTGAGGTAGCAAATTGGTCGCGACCGATAGGTCGCCACCAATCGGTCGCGACCGGTCGCGACCGGTTGGGAGTGCCGATCGGTCGCTACCGATCGCGACCGCCAAAAAAATGGTATCCAATGATCTGGCCAGGGAGAGAGCGCACTGACCCCCAATTGCCCAATCATCGCCGATGGAGGGCCCGACAGCCCACCACGCCCGGGAACGCGTCCTGGTGTCTCACGGTTGGGTTTCTTGCGGAAGGTTTCTAATGGATTGGCCCCCACTGGTTTCCCCAGGGCCAGCTTTCCATCCTGGGCCTTCCTCTTGACGGCCCCGCGGGGCCCGGTAGTCAAGGGCCCCCAGGGCCGGAAAAAATGCAAGATCTTGTCCGTCGTGGTTGCTGTTCGTCGCGACGCGAGGGGATCTGGGGCCTGGGCTGGAGGGTCAACAGTCGACCACCAGACTTCCCTTGGAATGCGTGCTGGCCATCAGCTTGGAGGCGAATCCAGTCGTAGCGACGAGAAGCCCCCCCCTCGAAGCTCGAAGTTCCCCATGCTTTGATACTAGTTGTTTTCGGTCGCGATCGGTAGTGACCGATCGGCACCCCGAATCGGTCGCGACCAACCGCGTCGAGTTCCAACATCGGTCGCGACCGATCGGTCAAGACCGACCCTGAAGCAAGCTGGTCCCGAGCGATAACTACCAGAGTTGAAAGAACATCGGCAGCGACCGAACTCGCCCGCCGCGGCCGGGGTTCGAAGCTCGGAGCTCGAGGGGGTCTGGGTCCATGTCCTCCCCTCCTTGGTCCCTCCCTCCCTCGAGAATACAAGAACCCCTAAGCCTGATAACGCAGAGAAGACGTGGCCGCACTGAGGTCCCCGTCGTTGCATTAGGGGGGGAATGCATCTTGGCGGTCTGGTTCGATACATCTGCAGAAAAGAGCCCCTATCCCTGATGCTCTCGGCGCTCCTATTTAACTTGGGTCCCCTCCCAAAGGGTTCGGGGTCCCTTTCTAGTTCATCACCTCCCCCTCCTCACGCTGCCCCTCACCAGCAAGCTACTCCTCACGGTCTTCGAGCGGCGCCCAGCGCCGGCGGGGCCGGACGGCGGGGCGCTGCTGCTGAGGGGCTCCCGGCCATAGCGCGCTCGGATCGTGGACCCTTTAGACTTGGCATCGCTCCTCCTCCTCCACCTCCTCCTCCTCCTCCTCCACCTCCTCCCCCTCCTCCCCCTCCCCCTCCCTCCCCATCTTCCTCCTCTTCTTCCTCCTCCTCCTCCGTTAAAACTTGGCATCGCTCGGACGTGTGCACTTTCCCTCGGCAAGGACCGTCAGCCAGCATCATTTTGGACAGTAAATCACGAAAGTTCCCGCTCGTCTTGGGTTATATGTACACGGGCGAACAGCGCCCCAACAGCGCCCGGTATCGCCACACAGCGCCCGGTGGCGCCGCGTAGCGCTCAACTCAGCGCCCACTAGCGACCAGCAGTGCCCAATAGCGCTGTGTGACGGAGGTGCATTATACTTGAGCAGGGCCGAGGGTCCGAGAGCGCCTTCCTCTGCAGGACCACCAACAAGGGGACGTCAAGGTGGTCAAACGTCTCGCCGGTAAGCTGACGAAGATGTGCAACATTCAACCATTCGTTGATGTCTAAAGTTCTGGCTTGACGTCAGGCGTAGTGACCCAATTCCAGCTTGACCGAACAGGTTGGTTGTGCCCATTGACGTCCGCTTGGGGTGGTCTGCAGACCTGACCCCCCAGCCCCTACTGCAGCCCGTCCTCGCCAGGGTGTCCCCTGGTCTGCGCACGGCCGCGCGCATGCAGTCGCGCGTCGCTCGGCGCGGGGGCTGTGCCAGAGCGGCCGCCCCTCTCCAACGGCCGGGTGCTGCCAGCCGTGCCCCTGGCCCAAGGTGCCAAGGCGCCCACGGCCTCCAGAGCGCCCCTCACGAGGCCAAGAGCCAAGAGGACCCAGGGTGCCCCCGGGATCTCCTTTCCGAGAAGGCCCCCATGGCCTCCAGAGCACCCCTCGCGAGGCCACGAGGGCCCTGGACGCTGAACTGATCGAAAAGCCTGGGGCACATTGGGCCAGGGGGACCGTCAGCAACCCCCGATCGTCGCCCTCCGCCGCTCCCTCCTGTCCGGAACGTGGGCCACTCCTGCCCGAAACGTGGGCCCGAAACGAGGCCAAAGAGGGCCCCAGGGGCTCCAAGAGTGCTCGAAAGGCTGGGGGGGGGGCACCTTGGGGCTGCTGGCTAGCTTTGAGATCCTTCAGCCACGTGCAGGTGCGGGGGTAGGGAGAGGGGGGAAGGCTTCTTGGAAGAATGCTGCCTCTTGGAGGGCGCGGGCCTCGTCTGCGATGTAAGGCTGGCGCCTTCTCAGAAGCAGCCTTCTTCTGAGAAGCCTTGCTCCCTCCCCCCACCCCATTGTGCGCGCCGCCAAATCCTGGCGTCGCAATTGTTTCACGCCCGGCGAGTTCGCCTGGTTTCGGGCGGTGTGACCTTCGCGGGATCGATCCCACTGTAGATATGCAGCAGAAGGATTGTGCCTGTAGGGGCCCAGTTTTGAGTTCTACGATGCTAACGTTCTTTTTGGCGACGTCGGATCTCAGGGAGGGGGTTGGATATCATGGCGGGGGCCATGATATCTCCCCGGAATCATTGTCCCCTGGTCTTATGTAATCGCTTCGCTCATTCCGCCGGCCCATTTCGCTTGCTTGCGTGCTGGGGGGTTGGCATTTGGGGGGTCTCCTGAGGGTTTCTGGGGGGCCTCTTGGGACCTCTCAGGGGCCTCTGGGGTCCTCCTGGGGGCTTCTTAGGGCCGAGGGCTGGACATGTTGTGTCGTGTTCCCCCCCTGGGGCCGCTCTTGGGGCGTTCTTGGGGCCCTCTTGGGCCGTCTTGGGGCCCTCTGGGGCCGTTTTGGGGCCATCTTGGCTCGTCGTAAGGCCCTTGTGGGGGGCTCTTGGGCACTCTTGAAGCAGTCTTGAGGGCCTCTTGGGCCGTCGTCGGGCGTTGGAAAGCGGAAAGGGTGGGAATACCAAAATCTCACCAAAACCTAAGGAAAAGCAATGAATTTTGCCTATTGGGGCCCTCTTGGGAGTGCTCTTGGAGGCCTCCTGGGGCGTTTGGGGGCCACATGGAGCGTCTTGGAGCGATCTTGTGGCATCTCGGAGCCCTCTTGTAGCATCTTGGGGGCGTTTTGGGGCGTCTGGAGGCCCTCTGGAGGACCTCGAGGGCGGCACCCAGGAGGGAGAACATCTCTGACGGGAACCTCCGGGAGTCTCCCGGGACCCTGCCGGGGTACTTTTCGTGGGGAGACCCCCAGGGGCCGCCCCGCGCGCGCGAAGAAGAATATTGCAAAGCAGTCACCGGAGATCTTAGCACGCCTCTGGCCCGTTGGGCCGGCGAATTTCAACACGTCACGTGCCTTGGCCCCACCCGGGCCACGCACGTGCCTCGGGCCACGATTTTCGAACCCTTGTTGGGGGACGCCCCCAGCTTTGGTGCGGGCCCTTTCTCAGGACCCGTCCCCACCCCCCCGCGCCGTGCAAGAACCGCAGCGGGAGGTGTTCTTGTTCCTGGCGTTCTGCCTCCATGGGGCCGCGGCTGTGCCTCCTGGGCCAGACACAAGCAAAAAGGCTGCGCTGGATGACAGGCCGGCCCTTCGGGGGCTGCAGGTGGAGACTTGCGGGTCGGCGTGTTGGGGGGGGGACCCTCCCCCGATCGCTGCGTGCGGCCCAGATCCTCCGGCCACGTGAGCTTCGCAAGAGAGCGCCTCTGGACGGCGTCCTCACCATCTGTGATGTGCCCGCAGTAGTTATCCGAGCGCTGTTCTTCGAAGGCTGGTCGTGGTCGTCCACGACCCCATCGAAGCCCCGCGGATGAGAGACATGTGAGCGACGCCACCAAAAAAAGACGGGGTCGTCTGCGCCGACATTGGCGCTCGAGCTGCCCGCGCAGGGTCGCGCGCAGGCGCCCTCGTCTCCAGAGTGGCGTGCCGCGCTCTCGGCCCGCGTGAGCCGCCGCGTAAGGTCGCTATGTCTCTTCGCGTATGACCCGTTCCTTTGTTCGTCGGTCACGTGTTGCTTTCGCTCAGGCTGGTTTTCCTCGGTTTCGGCCTCCCGGCCCCGCTGTCGGGCCCGGGGGCCATCATGAATGGACCCGGCACGAAGAATCACCCCTATCACATGCCCCTGGGGCTGCGCATCGAGTCACGTGGCACGCATGCCCTGGCTCTTGCACGAGGGAGAGCGAGGGCCAGGCGAGGCGGTGAGGAGGGGTGGGTTCTTGGGGCCACCCGGGTGTTCTCCCGGGGCCAGCATGGCCATCTTGGTGAGGCAGGGGCAGGGGCACAGGGGGGGGGGCAACGAGCGAACGAACGACCGACGACGCACATGAAGGGTTCCGAGTTCTGGAACACAGCTGTGCAAGAAGAAGCTGTGCAAGCAAATCAGCGCATCGTCGGATGTCTGAGATCGCTGCATGCGATGCGAGAGCAGCGACCTGCGAGCGTGGGTGTGGCGCCGCCCGCGCCCCCCATGAGCCACGCACCAGGGTCCGCCCCCTGGAGCCGGGCACCAGAGAACCTCGGGGCCGCGCATGGAACACAACAAACCGCTAGTTGCGTCCGCGGCTAGGCGGAGTGACCGCGCTGGCGGAGGAGGAAGCACACAACAAAAACGCACACCCAGCGTCGGATGCCTGGGTCGCCGTGGAGGGAAAGGGGGCCCTCGGAGGCCGGGCGGGTCCCGAGAGTCGCGCACCAGAGGTCGCCCTTGCCCAGGGCCGCTCACTCCCGCGCGCCGCCGAGGCGAGGCCCTGGAGGTGCTCGACGAGCTGGGGCTCGGCGGGCTGCTCCGCTCGGCGGCGGGGCTCGCTGCGTGGGACCCGGAGGGCACGCCCGTCCCGCCCGTCATGCGGGACGCGCTGGTGGAGCTGTTCGGAAGGAGAGAAATCGGCGTCATCATTAATTTTCGGAGGTTCGCGCGGATGTCTTTCAGCGAAGAAGAAAAATTGCCATAAACATATGTTTTTGGCGGTCCGCGCGGATTTTTTGGATCCGCGCTGGGCCTCCTCCCGGCGGCGCGGGTCTGGCGCAGATCCAAGAAATCCGCGCGGAGCGCCAACAGTTCATGTTTATGCAGTTTTTCCCGCTTCTATTTCAGAGGAGGGCGAGTTTAGTCAACGGTAGTTGGCCTTCGGGGGGCAACCATTTCTTGCATCTGCGCAGCAGCCTCACTCCCCTGCGCGCGGAGCGCGCCAGGAGCGGCGCCAGATACGTCGCTCAGTGGACCCAGCGCCGATCCAAGAAATCCGCGTGGACCCCCGACAGTTCATATTGATGCTGCTGTTTCTTCTTCTAGCGGTTGCTGGGGCGCCTCAAGGAGCAGCCGGGCGTAGTTGAGGTCAAGACGAATACCGAGGTGGTGGATGTCAGGGAGACCGCAGACTCTGTCGTGCTGGAGTACCGGCCGCTCCTCGTCCTGAGCGGCGGCACGACTTGGGTCAAGAACACCACTCGCTCGGGGGAGCACGCCACATTCGACATGGTCGTCGGCGCCGACGGCAATGCGCCATCGTCCGCAGTGGCCAGGAGCATCGTGGGCCAGGGCTGCCAGGCGGAACCCCTGCCGCTGCTGATGATGCAGGCCGCACTGCCTCGCGAGGCGCCGTGCCAGGGGTGCCAGGAGGAGCTGAGCGTGGAGGGGGCCGTTGGCGCCCGGGTGGAGGTCGCCCCCGCCATCGGCCTGGCCAGCGGCAGCCTCGGCGCCGGCACGGCCGCCCAGCTGCAGTGGTGGAGCGTGTGCAGCCTCACGGCGCGGCTGAGGGAGCCGGCCATGCGCAGCTTCCCGAAGCCCGACGCCTGGGGCTCGACCCTGTCGGGTTACCTCCTGCGCGCCAGCCGAGGGGCAACGTTCAGTGGAGACAGGCCGAGTGGGGGACGCATCGACCCCGGAACGCGCACTCATCGCCAATGGGGGCCCGACCTCCCGCCCCGCCCAGGAACCTCCGGATTCGCTATTACGGGGCCGATCGCCGTTCCATCGACGAGGTATCGCCGATTCCATGTCGATGTTGCTCCCACTGAGCCAGTGTGAAAATCAGGTAGGCAGGGAGGGATGTGAGAATTAGGACGATAACTGCTCTCGTTCGCTCGTGCTGTGTGCAGTATTCCTCTCGCCCGCAACCGTTGTGGCTCATAAGCTGGGCGGGAGGTGGACTCACCTACTCACGTGTGGTCTGAGTACGGCGGTAAAAGATGTAAGTTCATGTTTATCTTGTGTTTGCATCAAATGCTTGTGGGAGGGATCTTGGCATCGATATTTACACTGGTAGCCTGGAGTTATATCAGTTCCGCGGTTGCGAGATTCACACCAGAGTGGCCGTGCAAAAGTACATGCTGGCGCTCAGCATTTTCGCAGTAGTTTACCATTGCGCTTATCATATTCGGGCGATCAACATCAACAGCGTCGTCACTTGCAGCCTGGCCGACGACGGCATCTACGACAGCGAAGACGTGCTGTGCGACAACATCCCCATCACAGACGTGATGGCGACCAGGCAGCAACAGTTCAACAACGACGGACCCCTTCCTCGTGGACGAAGAGGGCGTGGTACATTACAATGGAGACCCAGCCTACTGAGAAGAGTTCGACGAGCGGGCATTACTCGGCCACCATGTGAGCGAAGATGAGATCCAGAAGCTCTACGCAACCAAGCACAACAATTCGTTGAACGGGCGAGCGTGGAACTTCACGAGGAAGAAGGTCGATATTGCAACGCAATCAGTGTTTGACAAAGCAGGTGGTGACCCACCTGCTGCAGTGAAATTGGTAGTTGCAACAGTGCGACAAGCGTGGAGTTGTTCTCCGAAGGCTTTCGCAACATATCGGGGTCAGTTCAAGATTGCATATCGAAGCGGGAAGCGGAGTACGAGCGGCTCAGATCTCCTTCGGCAAACGCGACGGTGCGCGAGGACCTTCGGACATGTTTCCTGCTGAAGCTGGCAAACATCAGCATGACTGAGCATAAGGCCATCATCGGACAGTGCAAGAACGAGCACATCTGGGACGACGTGACGGCAGCGATGCTAATCCAGCTGGGCACTACATGCAGAGACGAACGGGGACGCGGACGGTATAGAGCCGACCCGGTGGACTACGACGACGACGAAGAGGAGGCCCTGCTCGGATACGAGTGTGGCAGATGCGACGATGACGGGATTCTGATCGATGGAGACAGTGGCGCGCTCTTTGTCGACATCGACGAGTTCGAGGGCGCGATTGACGGCGTCGACCCCGAAGAGGTCAGCCAGGGGGAGTGCCGCGCTCTAGCGGCAGAGGCCCAGCGTCTTGGGTTGGCAGCTGCGCGGAAAGGCCACAAGCCTAACTAAAAGCAAGCCTGGGAGAGGCTCGCACAGAGCAGGTCAGACCGAGGCTGGAAGGCCAACGTCAACAAGCAGGGATCCATCAAGATGGACGGCAAGGAAGCCGAAGAAAAGCTCAAGAAGATTAAAGCTCGCACGAAGTGCAACGCATGCCACAAGAAGGGCCGCTGGAAGGGCGACCAGGAGTGCGAGATGGCAAGGCCATCAGGCGGCGGATCATCGAACAACTTACAGCGTGGAGGACGAGGTGGCGGCCGAGGCTTTCGCGGACGACCTGGGGGTTTTCAACGACGGGCTGGGTTTGCGATGGCAGCGGCGGCGAAGCTACTGATGGCGGACAGCTCAATGGGCACGACTGCCTTCCAGATCGCAAGTGACCAGCTGGCGGAAATGGAGACCACCATGGAGGAGATCACGAGTCTGACGCAGGTGAGGATTGAGACCGACGAGCAGAGCGCGAACACCTGGACGGAGTCGGCACCTGGAGACGATCAAGGCACACGAGTGCGGCCTGGAGAAGCGAATCGGATCCACAGCGGACCTGAAGAACATCAAGTACAACAACCTGAAGGCGGCGACGAGCAAACGCCAGGATCTGGACCCGGACAGACAAGGACCAGCAGATCGAGCACCGAATACCATAAGGAGGATGACACAGCGGCAGATCTACGGAAGGTCAAAGATGGGGCAGCACAGATTGCGGCACCATGTGTCAGCTGCGAGGACATGGAGGCAGCCTACAGGGATTGCAAGGATTGGCGCGTGGACTGGGCGCTGCGCTGGATCCGCCAGCTCATGCGCGTCGCGATGGAGATGGCACCACAAGGGCTCAGGAACTTGGCTTTCGATCTGCGCCGAGCATCCTGGGGCAGCGCCTCGGAACTACGAGTCATCGCAAGGAGCATTTGCGAGCGCCTACCGCATGGAGCGCGGTCGACATGGCCGCGGGCGGAACGCAGGACAGACGCGGACTACAGGCCTACAGGGGATCGTGCACCATCATCTGGGCGAGGCCTGCGCGGTAAGGGAAGGACCAATTGCCAGATGGACATGACTGGATACGGCGCGCCTACGAAGATGCGGAGGCTCACTGGCACTAGGCGGCTGTGCGGAGGACAGCAGGGTCACTGCGTGGATGCGAGGATCATCCATGCGCTTCCGAGGCGCGAACGATAGCGCCCCGGTCATGGCAGAAGGCGCGCAGGAAGTGACAGCTGGACTCGCGGGAGCCGACGTGAACCTGCGATTCCAGAGGCTGCCGACATCGACGACGCCGATGCTGCTGAGCATCCGCCAGTCGGAGGAGCTCGATGCAGCGTTGTGCTCGAAGGAGCAGAAGGCGGACTTCAAGGCAATCGACAAGTACGGCGCGCCGCTCAACATGACCGAGAGGGGGGCCGAACGATCTCACTCAAGGACTGGCCGAAGAAAGAAACAGTCAAGACAGCGCCATCAGTCGCGACATATGAGATCGACATGTGGAACGCGGGGGCGCAAGAGATAGACAAGGGCATCCCACGACGAAAGCAGAGGAGGCTGATCGAGACGTGGGAGAAAGCTGGACCAGCGCCAGCAGGTCGTGGATACGCAAAACGCAGACCCAGAGGAGCAGCGGCCTATCACACGCGAGCTCAATGCGGGTGGCACGGCGGCCGCGCCGGAAGCTCATCAGCGGCGGCGCCCTACTGCGAGACCGAGGGGCGCCCTGATACTGGGGCGACCTACTGGGCGCGAAGTCACAGCGGAACGTGGGGAAGCATCTGGGCGAGGACGACCCTTACATGACTATCGCGCGTTTTCCATGCGACCCTCTTACGAACATGCCACACATGTTTCCGTCGAAGACGGGGATGATGAAGTTGGCCACTGGCATGGGGCACCTGCGGTTCGTCAAGCAGATTTGGCTCAACTGCAGGCGTCGAGGAGCACGCGTGCTACTGGAGAGCCCGCTGACGCCGAAGGCCTGGAAGCTCGCGCCGTGGCTAGGCTCGGAGCTCGTGGCCGAGATTCCGCACCAGTGCGCCGAGGGCAGCAACCTGGTGGATTTCGTGGGCGATCCCGTCACGAAGTCGACGCGCATCCTAGCTGCGGCCATCGTGCTAGGCGCCAATCTCAACAGCATCAGGCGTGACAACATGCACTAGCACGCGAGAGTGATCAACAGGCCCAAGGAAAGAGCATCAAGTCTTGGCAACTAGGCGGCTGGCCTGGCTGAGACGATCATTAACGGCACCGAGGATCAGCGGGACCTCGAAGCAGCATGGCGGTTACGCCAGGTACGCCAACAACTTCGATGACATCGATCCTTCAGCTCCACTTGGGGGTGGCGTCAACGGGAGGGGCGAAAGTTGAGCGCGTTTGCTGGTGCGAGATCGTCTTTTTGTTTCTCGGAAGGCTGCCCGCGCATGTGAAATTTTCCGCATAAATTTCGCCAGTGCGGCAATGTGAAAACGCCTCGATGTCGCTCTGGGTTGGCTTTGCGTGTGACTGAAGCGGTTGGGCCCTGGGTAAATGTTTATCGGCGTTTCTTTTTCTACGTCTGGACACGCCATTGCGATTGTGCGCTTTGGAACGAGACCAGCGGGATCAATATTTTGTTTGCTCTGGGTCAAGGGGCAGATGTTTTCAGAATGCCCGAGTTTGGAAGCGGTTCTGGGGGCCATCCCCCAATTTGGTCTTCGCCAACGTCGCCCCTCTCAACCATCTTGTGGTGTTAGGGCCTCGTTTCGAAGAGAGTGCCCCGCGTTCCTTCCTCCTCACCTCCTCGCCCCCTTCTACCTCCTCCCTTTTCCACCATGCGTCTCCCGCGCAGGACAATGTTTCGGGGCTCTGTAGGAGTCTCCGCCGAAGGCCCCAGTGGCTGCACTCGTATGCGGCTCCCCCACCCAGGACTGCGCTTCGTGGCGCCATAGGGCTTGCTACCGAGAGCCCCAGCGGCTGCAGTAGGGGGTTCCCCCATTCAGGTCGGCGCTTTGTAGCCCGAAAATGAGTTCCACCTAGAGCCCGAGCGGCTGCACTCGCATGCGATACTCTCCGCCCAGGATCGCATGTCGTGGCCCCGTCGGGAGCTCCACCGAAGGCCCTGGTGACTGCATTCGCAGGCGCGTCCCCACCCACGACCGCATTTCGTGGCCCCATGGGGAGCCCCACCGAAGGCCCTGGTGGCTGCATTCGCATGCGGTTCCACCATTCAGGACAGCGCTACGTGGCCCAATATATGAGTTTCACCGAAGGCTCCGGTGGCTGCCCTAGCATGCGGACCTCCGACCCAGGACAGCGCTTCGGGGCCCCATGGGGAGCCCTGCAGAAGGCCCCTAGGGCTGCACTCGCATGCGGTTCCAGCACTCACGCCAGCGTTTCGTGCCTCATCGGGAGTTCCGCCGAAGGCCCATGTGGCCGGACATGCATGCGGTTCTCTCCGCCCAGGACAGCGCTTCGTGGCCCTGTCGGGAGCTCCGATGAGGCCCCAGTGGCTGCACTCGCATGCGGTTCCCTCCGCCCAGGATCGCGTTTC